CCCCTTCCTCTCATGCAGCCCCCCCCCCGCACAAGTCCCCACCCCTCACAGCTCCCACCCTGCACGCAGCCCCCTCCCCCACGCAGCCCCCATCCGGTTACCCTGCGCTTGAGCCCGAGTCTACGTTCTGTTAATGAGCAACAGCAGGGCCCGGGCCAGGGGCCAGGGTCTCCCCCAGAGACCGCGGGGGCCCTGCGGGGTGGGGCTCCATGTACATGTCGGCCCAGCGGGTCCGGGGGCCGCAGTCCTGGCTTCAGATCAAAACGATAAAACCAAAGGCCATCGTGGCCTCGGGGTTTCAGACAATGTTCCCATTCTCGCCTGCGACACTTGGGGGTGGTGGTGCGGGGGAAACTGTCCTCGCCGGGAACAGCACGGAACGTCCGCTGCACTTGGCCTGTGGGCCAGGGCTGGGGCACCTGGACACCTCCATGTCCTTCCCGTGTCCCCTTTGCCCTGGTATGAGAGGCCTGTGTCCACCACAGACCCCATTGATTAGGGGTGCTCGGGGCAGCACCAGCTCCCAACAGCGAGTGTGGCCAGGGAGACGGGCCAGCCACAGTGGACATCTGACCCCGTGTGGTGCCCGGGAAGGGCTGGGCGGGATGTGGGGCTGCTGACCGGCCAGCCTTCCCTCGGGGCTGGGCCATGGCAAACGCGGGAGCGAAGCAGCAGGCTGGGGGCACGGGCCAGGCCCCTAGGTCGAAGTCGGGCTCAGGACGGGGTGCTTCTGAGTCTCGGTGTCCTGGGCCTCCTGGCCTCCTGGGGTCGGTTCAATCTGAGAACCCAGCCTGGGTGGGGAGCTGGGGGAGGCGGAGCTCAGAGCCCCCTTTCTGGATCCCGGGGGAGGAGCTGAGGGCCCCAGTGGGACGGGGCTCCTCCTTGTGGGTCAGGCTGGACAAGCAGTCCTCCCGCCCCCGCAAGGCCCAGCTCTGGAGTCCTCGGGCCACTTCCCGGCGGCAGCAGGGGGTCACCTTTGAACATCGTTACCAGACAGTGTTAGAGTCAAGCCGAGAAATCCAGCACTGTCCGGTAAGATGCCCACAGAGGCCCAGGGCGCCTTGGCCCGAGGACGCGGATGGACGCGTGGTGCCGCCTGCGGGCAGCAGGCCCCGAGGCGGGAGGCCGGCGTGTTCCCCGCCTCCGCTTTCCCCAGAGCCGAGGGATGGGGCCCAGACCCGCCCGCCCACTCTCGGCCACTCCGGGCGCAACCCCAGCTCCGGGCCGGCTGACCCCCCACTCAGAGCCTCTGCTGCGGCTCCGCGCAGCCCACACCTGGCAGGTGTGGTGCAGTTGCTGCTCGGGCCATGGGCAGGGCCTGGAT